GAATTTTTGGGGTTAAAACCCAGGAGAGCTCACAAGCTGATCCAGGAAGGTTCTGGAATTTTGGGGCTGGGAGGATTTGGGGGTTCCAGGTCCGGGACTTTTGTGGGGAAAATTTGGGATTTTGGGGCTGGGGGGGCTTGGAGGATTTGGGGGGGTTCCAGGTCAGTGTGATTTGGGGAGAAAACAGGTCAGGGAGATTTGGGGAGAAAATTTGGGATTTTGGGGCTGGGGGGGCTCGGAGGATTTTGGGGCTCCGGGGCATTTTTGGGGCTGGATTTTGGGATCTCAGAGGAGTCAAAACCGTGGAATTTTTGGGGTTAAAACCCAGGAGAGCTCACAAGCTGATCCAGGAAGGTTCTGGAATTTTGGGGCTGGGAGGATTTGGGGGTTCCAGGTCCGGGACTTTTGTGGGGAAAATTTGGGATTTTGGGGCTGGGGGGGCTCGGAGGATTTTGGGGAGTCCAGAAGATTTTTGGGGTCTCAGAAGAGTCAAAAGTGTGGAATTTTAAGGGATAAAAATCAGGGAAGGGAAAGGATTGGGGGGAAAATTTGGGATTTTTGGGGCTGGATTTGGGGTCTCAGAAGAGTCAAACCCGTGGAATTTTCGGGGTTAAAACCCAGGATACCTCACAGGCGGATCCAGGAAGGTTCTGGAATTTTGGGGCTGGGGGGGCTCGGAGGATTTTGGGGTATGCAGACGATTTTTGGGGCTGGATTTGGGGTCTCAGAAGAGTCAAACCCGTGGAATTTTCGGGGTTAAAACCCAGGATACCTCACAGGCGGATCCAGGAAGGTTCTGGAATTTTGGGGCGGAATTTTGGGGGGGGGGGTCTCTGGGGGTCTCACCGGTGCCCCCTCCCCCCCAGGTGCAGACCCACCTGGAGAACCCCACCCGGTACCACCTGCGGGCGGCGCAGCGGCAGCAGCTGCGGCAGTACCTGAGCCACGCCCAGCGCCGGGGGGGCGGGGCCAGCCCCTGCCCCTCCCCCTCCCCCTCACAGTGGCTCCAGTGTTCGGCTCCAGGGATGACTCCACGGAGCCAGGGATCAAATCCAGGTCTGCCAGTGGCTGAGGTCGCTCAGGGCCCGTTGGTGGTCACACATCAGCCACCCCTCGTGCCCCACACGTCACATCAACGCGGAGTGACAGAGCCTGGCCCGCAGCTGGAAGCCAGGAATTGCTCTGCTCCTGTCCTCCTTCCATTAAAAAAAGAAAAAAAAATTAGGGACAAAAAAGGGATTTGTTCTTAACGAGTCTGCTGCAAAGCTGAGTAAATAGAATTAATTAATTGAGAGTTTTCTTGATGCCTGCTGGCTTTGTTTGGGACGCAGCCGTAGAGCTTGGTGTGGCCATGGTGGTGATGGGTGAGCTCCAGCCTTGAGGGGACATCTCTGGGGGCCACCAAGCTGGGGGTGACACTGGCAACCAACCAGATACATCAGTGGGGCTTGGGGTGTCCTTGTTGGGCCTGTCCCTCGTTTGTTTGGACCTCTTTGTCCTGGGAGACCCTTTTCTTTGCAGGATCTTGAGTGCAGATCCACAGCTTTTGGGGCTGGATTTGGGGTCTCAGATGAGTCAGAAACGTGGAATTTTTGGGGTTAAAACCCAGGATACCTCACAGGCGGATCCAGGAAGGTTCTGGAATTTTGGGATGGGGGGGCTCAGAGGATTTGTGGGGTATGCAGACGATTTTTGGGGCTGGATTTGGGGTCTCAGATGAGTCAGAAACGTGGAATTTTCGGGGTTAAAACCCGGGATACCTCACAGGCGGATCCAGGAATGTTCTGGAATTTTGGGGCTGGGGGGGCTCGGGGAATGTGGGGGCTGGGGGGGGGTGGGAGGATTTGGGGGGGTTCCAGGTCAGGGAGATTTGGGGGGGAAATTTGGGATTTTGGGGCTGGGAGGGCTCGGAGGATTTTGGGGGATCCAGAGGATTTTTGGGGCTGGATTTGGGGTCTCAGATGAATCAAAAACATGGAATTTTTGGGGTTAAAACCCAGGAGAACTCACAGGCCAATCCAGAAAGGTTCTGGAATTTTGGGGCTGGGGGGGGCTTGGAGGATTTGGGGAGGTTCCAGGTCAGGGAGATTTGGGGAGAAAATTTGGGATTTTGGGGCTGGGGGGGCTCGGAGGGAGCCCCCCCTGAGCCCCCCCTCGGGGCTGCTGCACCACGAGAAGGAGGTGAGGGGGAGGGGAGGGGGTGGTGACGTCATAAGGGGGGGTTGCGATGTCATAAAGGGGGGTGGTGACGTCATGAGGAGGATAAGAAGGTGATAAAGGGGGTGGGGATGTGATAAGAGGAGGGGATGACGTGATGGGGTGAGATGGTGACGTCATAAGCGGTGGTAACAGGGCGATGGTGTCATAAAAGGGGTCAGTGATGTCATAAAGAGGATCCTGGTGCGATAAGGGGAGGTGATGATGTCATGGAGCGCGATGGTGACGTCATGAGGGGCGACGAGGGGTGGTGATGTCACAAGAAGGGGTTTGTGATGTCACAGTGAGCGTCTGTGACGTCACAAGGAGGGTCACGAAGGAGTGACGGGGTGGGGGTGTGATGGGGGAAGGTGATGATGTCATAGGGCGTGACGGTGACGTCATAAGCAGAGATGGGGATAAAGGGGTGGTGACGTCATAACAGGGTATGTGACATCACCAAGGGAGTGTGTGACGTCACCACAAGGGCCATGATGTCATAAGAGGGGACAAGATTAGATAAGAGCCGGTGATGATGTCACACGGGGGAGGGGCGGGGTTCGCTGATGTCACGCTGTCCCGCGCAGATCGATGACGTCATCGATGAGATCATCAGCCTGGAGTCGAGCTACGAGGACCTGCTGGGCCTGGAGGGGCCCCTCCCCCTCCCCAGCACGGTAACGAGGGGGCGGGGCCTGGGCAAGCCACGCCCACCCCCCGGGGGGGCGGGCACTGTGGGGTGTGCCTTTCCATATAAGGCAGGGGGCGTGGCTTGGTGCAGTATTTGGTAGCTGTTGCCATAAAAGGGTGTGGGCGTGGCTTTGGCCATGTAAGGCATTGGGGGTGTGGCTTTTCCATGTAAAGTGCTGCCAATTCTCTATAAGGCTTTGGGGGTGTGGCTTTCCAATATAAGGCAGTACATCAATTCCATATAAGGGCATGGATGTGACTTGCTGCCATGTAAGGGCACAGGGGTGTGGCCTGCTACCATATAAGGGTGTGTGGGCGTGGTTTTCCCATATAAGGGCATGGCTAGGTGGTTTATTGCCACATAAGGCTTTGGGGGTGTGGCTTTCCCATATATGGCAATGTGCTGGTTCCATATAAGGGCATGGGTGTGGCTTAGTCTGTGTAAAAGCATGGGGGTGTGGCTTTCCCATATAAGGACACAGGGGTGTGGTTTGTTGCCGTATAGGGTGTTGGGGGTGTGGTTTTCCCATACAAGACCTTGGGGGGTGTGGCTTCCCCATATAAGGCAAGGGCATGATTTGGTTGCCATATAAGGACCCAAGTGCATGGGTGTGGCCTGAAAGGGGCGTGGCCTATGCCTATGCATTGACACGGGTCTATTAAGGAGGCGTGGCTTTCATAAAAGTGGGCGTGGCTTTACCCCAACACCCCCTTGCTGTGTTTCTGACTGGGTGGGCGTGGTCAGGGTGGGCGTGGCCGCTCTGACCCCGCCCCCTCCGGCAGCTGCCGGCCCCGGGGCCGCTCCTGGAGGTTTTCAGCCCCGCCCAGGGCGGGAGCAGCTCCTGCCCCGCCGAGCTGCCCCGGGTCAAGGCCGAGCTCTCAGGTCCGGGGGTCCCGCGGGGTGGGGAGGGGTCCCTGGGGGAACTAGGGGGGGTAAAAGTGTTTGGGGAGGGGTCCCCATGGTGGGGAGAGGTCCCTGGGGGGTGGGGAGTGAGGTTTTTGGGGGTCCTGGGGGTCCCTGTGAGGTTTTTGGGGGTCCTGGGGGTCCCTGTGAGGTTTTTGGGGGTCCTGGGGGTCCCTGTGAGGTTTTTGGGGGTCCTGGGGGTCCCTGTGAGGTTTTTGGGGGTCCTGGGGGTCCCTGTGAGGTTTTTGGGGGTCCTGGGGGTCCCCCGGGGCTGGGGGAGGGGTTTTGGGGGGATCCCCGGGGGTCTCACGTGTCCCCCCCATCCCCCCCCTGCAGTCGAGCGGCGCCGGCGCTTCAACATCAACGACCGGATCAAGGAATTGGGGACCCTGATCCCCAAAAACAGCGACCCGTGAGCGGGGGAGGGGCCGGGGGTCCTGCAAGGGGAAACTCGGCAGCCAGGGACCCCCGGGGTGGGGCCTGCGGGGGGAATTCCCCCCGTGGCAGGTCCTGGAAGGGGAAAGTTGATATTTAGGGGTCCCCAGGGTGGGTCCTGGAAGGGAAATTTGACATTTAGGGACCCCCGGGGTAAGTTCTGGAAGGGAAATTTGGCATTTAGGCGTCCCAGGGTGGGTCCTGGAAGGGAAATTTGACATTTAGGGACCCCCGGGGTAAGTTCTGGAAGGGAAATTTGGCATTTAGGCGTCCCAGGGTGGGTCCTGGAAGGGGAAATTTGGCAGTCAGGGACCCCCATGGCAGGCCCTGGAAGGGAAGCTGGGAGGGTTCCGGGCATTCGGGGCAGGTCCTGGAAGGGACAAGGACACACAAGGAACCCCATGGCAGGTCCTGGAAGGGAAATTTGGCATTTAGGAGTCCCAGGGTGGGTCCTGGAAGGGAAATTTGGCAGTCAGGGACCCCCAGGGTGGGGCCTGGAAGGGAAATTCCCCCTGTGGCAGGTCCTGGAAGGGGAAATTTGGCAGCCAAGGGTGCCCTGAGCAGGTCCTGGAAGGGAAATTTTAGATTTGGGGATCCCCATGATAGGTCCTGGAAGGAAAATATGGCATTTAGGGACCCCCATGGCAGGTCCTGTAAGGGAAATTTGGCAATCAGGGAACCCCATGGCAGGTCCTGTAAGGGAAATTTGGCAATCAGGGAACCCCATGGCAGGTCCTGTAAGGGAAATTTGGCAATCAGGGACCCCCATGGCAGGTCCTGGAAGGAACAAGGACACACAGAGAACCCCAGAGCAGGTCCTGGAAGGGAAATTTGGCATTTAGGGACCCCCAGAGTGGCATCCGGAGGGGCTCAGGTGTCCAGGGACCCCCGTGGCAGGTCCTGGAAGGGAAATTTGAAATTTTGGGGGCAGTTCCAGGCTGATCTTGGCGGTGCAGGGGTATTTGGGGGTCGTCCCTGGGATTTTGGGGTGGTCCCTGGGATTTTGGGGGTGGTCCTGGGGGTATTTTTGGGTGGTCCTGAGGGTATTTTGGGGGTGACCCCAGGGATATTTTAGGGGTGGTCTCGGGTATTTTGGGGGTGGTCCCAGGAGGATTTTCAGGGTGGTCTCAGGAGTATTTCGGGGATGGTCCCTGGGATTTTGGGGTGGTCCCGGGAGTATTTTTGGGGTGGTCCCTGGGATTTTGGGGGTGGTCCCAGGAGGATTTTCGGGGTGGTCTCAGGAGTATTTCGGGGATGGTCCCTGGGATTTTGGGGGTGGTCCCGGGGATTTTGGGGGTGGTCCCTGGGATTTTGGGGTGGTCCTGGGAGTATTTTTGGGGTGGTTCCTGGGATTCTGGGGTGGTCCCTGGGATTTCGGGGTGGTCCCGGGGGTATTGGGGGTGGTCCCTGGGATTTCGGGGTGGTCCCTGGGATTTGGGGCGGTCGGGGCTGAGCCGGGGTCCCGCAGGGAGATGCGCTGGAACAAGGGCACCATCCTGAAGGCGTCGGTGGATTACATCCGCAAGCTGCAGAAGGAGACGCAGCGAGCGCGGGAGCTGGAGCTGCAGCAGCAGCGCCTGGAGCAGCAGCACCGCAGCCTGACGCTGCGCGTGCAGGTCTGGGAATGTGGGAATGGGAATGGGAATGTGGGAATGGGGGATTGGGATTGGGGGATTGAGAATGGGAGCAGCAGCACCGCAGCCTGAGGAGCAGCAGCACCGCAGCCTGACGCTGCGCGTGCAGGTCTGGGAATGTGGGATTGGGAATGGGAGCAGCAGCACCGCAGCCTGACGCTGCGCGTGCAGGTCTGGGAATGGGGGATTGGGAATGGGAGCAGCAGCACCGCAGCCTGACGCTGCGCGTGCAGGTCTGGGAATGTGGGATTGGGAATGGGAGCAGCAGCACCGCAGCCTGACGCTGCGCGTGCAGGTCTGGGAATGGGAATGGGATTGGGATTGGGAATGGGATTGGGGAAATGGGAATGGGATTGGGAATGGGATTGGGAATGGGGGATTGGGATTGGGAATGGGGGAATGGGAATGGGAGCAGCAGCACTGCAGCCTGACGCTGCGCGTGCAGGTCTGGGAATGGGAATGGGATTGGGAATGGGAATGGGAATGGGGGATTGGGAATGGGGGATTGGGAATGGGATTGGGATTGGGGGAGTGGGAATGGGAATGGGAATATGGGATTGGGAATGGGAGCAGCAGCACCGCAGCCTGACGCTGCGTGTGCAGGGCTGGGAATGGGAATGGGAATGGGAATGGGGGATTGGGAATGGGGGATTGGGAATGGGATTGGGATTGGGGGAGTGGGAATGGGAATGGGAATATGGGATTGGGAATGGGAGCAGCAGCACCGCAGCCTGACGCTGCGTGTGCAGGGCTGGGAATGGGAATGGGAATGGGAATGGGGGATTGGGAATGGGGGATTGGGAATGGGATTGGGATTGGGGGAGTGGGAATGGGAATGGGAATATGGGATTGGGAATGGGAGCAGCAGCACCGCAGCCTGACGCTGCGTGTGCAGGGCTGGGAATGGGAATGGGAATGGGAATGGGGGATTGGGAATGGGGGATTGGGAATGGGATTGGGATTGGGGGAGTGGGAATGGGAATGGGAATATGGGATTGGGAATGGGAGCAGCAGCACCGCAGCCTGACGCTGCGTGTGCAGGGCTGGGAATGGGAATGGGAATGGGAATGGGGGATTGGGAATGGGGGATTGGGAATGGGATTGGGATTGGGGGAGTGGGAATGGGAATGGGAATATGGGATTGGGAATGGGAGCAGCAGCACCGCAGCCTGACGCTGCGTGTGCAGGTCTGGGAATGGGAATGGGAATGGGAATGGGGGATTGGGATTGGGAATGGGGGATTGGGAATGGGGGATTGGGAATGGGAATGGGGGATTGGGATTGGGAATGGGAATGGGAGCAGCAGCACCGCAGCCTGACCCTGCGCGTGCAGGTCTGGGAACGGGAATGTGGGAATGGGAATGTGGGAACGGGATTGGGAATGATGGATTGGGAATGGGGGATTGGGAATGTGGGATTGGGAATGGGAGCAGCAGCACCGCAGCTGCAGTTACATGTACGGGGAATGGGGAATATGGGTCTGGGATTATGGGAATGGGGGATTGAGATTGGGAATATGGGATTGGGTGAGGGGCAGCAGAACCGCAGCCGGACGCTGCGCCGGCAGGTGCGGGATCGGGATCAAGATCAGGAATGGGACTGGGATTGGAGGAATGGGAATGCGGGATTGGGAGTGGGATCAGCAGAACCGCAGCTGCGTGTGCGGGTCTGGGAACGGGGATCGGGATTGGGAATGGGCGGGATCGGAGCCGAGAGTGCGGAAATGAGCCGGGAATGGGGGATGGGAATGCGGAACTGGGGCTGGAAACGGCGGGATCCGGGAGGGAACGGGCGGGGCCGGGGCGGGAGGAGGGGATCGGGGCTGGGAATGCGGGATCGGGGCTGGGAATGCGGGATCGGGGCTGGGAATGCGGGATGGGGGCTGGGACGGGCGGTATG